TTTGACTGTGGAGATATCGGGCATAAACGAGCAGCGTGTCCACACAAACAGCAGCAAAACGGGCAAACGGTGGATAACGGAGGTGGCTCTGCTGCTTCCGGGTCCGCGAGCGGCGCTGCACCCGCGGAGCGCGCTTCGGCCGCGGGGGCGGAGCCCGCGCCGGCCGGGGCGGAGCCCGCGACGGCCGCGGGGGGTCCGGAGCAGGCGAGCCAGATGCCCGTAGCCCGGGACCTGGTGGGCGCGTGCCCGGTGATCGCGAGCACGGTGGTCGCAAGCCCCGTGTCTGAAGCTGGGAGCTCTGTGGCTGTTGTGGAAGCTGAAGTGGAGGAGGAATGTAATGTTGAAACGGAGATAAATGAATTGATTGAGGTGGAGAAGCAGCAGGAGGCTGCAGAAAGTGTGACTGAAGCACAGGCAGGTAGCAATGAGGAGAAAGCCAGTACCAGTGCGACAGGACAGGGAGAAGTCTGTAGTCAGACTCCATGTGCTGATGAGATGGATTATGAGACTGAGTCAGACACAGCATCCATCAGTGAAGTGGCGAGCAAAAGGATTGACCTCTATTCTCTAGAGGAAATTAATGAGTTTCTGGATGAAACATTTAACAAATCTGTGAAAGTAAGTGACTACTTTGAGGACACAGATAAATTCATTAAATCTGTAAGTATATTAAAGAGGCTGGTTAGCAATGACCTCCTAGATGAAAAAAAGCGTTACCGTCTAAATAAACATCTGGCAATCCTTAGGAAGGCTCAGAGAGGGAAAACTGTTAAAAGGTCCAAGAGAAGGATTCAACATGAATAGTCACATGGTGAAGTTTTCTTCCTACTGTTTAATGCTGGGTTCAATCTGTACCCTTTTTCTCCTTTACCATATCTCCATGGAGAGTCTAAAAATAGGATGTCTTAACATCAATGGAGGTAGAGACAAGAATAAGAGGGCTTTAGTATCTGAGCTGGCTACTCGAAAAAAGATAGATGTGTTGTTCCTACAGGAAACACATAGCACTCCAGCAGACAACACAGATTGGGCCTTAGGGTGGGGGGGGTCGTGGTTCCCGAGCCACGGCTCAAATCTGAGCGCAGGTGTATCCATTCTGTTTGCAAAACATATTGTTCTATCACAGGTAACAGTTTCTGAGATAGAACCGGGGCGTATACAGGTAGTGCAGGCTACAATAAGAGAAACGCCTTTTGTATTTGTTAATGTGTATGCTTATACCTCTGCTGGTAGCCGGATCAGTCTATTACAAAAACTTAACAAAACATTAAAACAGTTCAGTAGCAGCTCAGTTGTAGTGGTGGGAGGAGACTGGAACTGCACGACTAATCATGCAGTGGACAGGAATGGGAGAGAGCCCAACTCATTATCAGCCTATTTTTTAACAAAAATAATTAAAGAGAATAGTTTAGTGGATGTTTGGAGGACACTCCACCCAAATACCAGACAATATACCTGGGTGAAAGTTACAGAGGGCCGGGTTAGTGCAGCCAGACTAGACAGGATGTATGTCAGTAACACATGCAGCAATAGGCTAACTGCAGCCAATATATCACCAGTTGGGTTCTCAGATCATCACCTAGTAACTGTTCATTTTTCTTTGATGGTGCCTCCTCAAAGATCTCCTTATTGGCATTTTAACATAAGACTAATCAATGATAAGGTTTTCTGTCAGTCTTTCACTGACTTTTGGGGTCAATGGAGAAGCAGAAAATCAGAATTTGAAAACATAGGTCAATGGTGGGAGGTGGGGAAAACACACATTAGAACTCTTTGTCAGCAATACACATCACACACAGCAGCAATAGAAAGGGATCAGGTTGAATTATTGGAAAGGGAACTTCATGTATTGGAAGAGGGCATAGCAAATGGGGTGGACAATGATAATGATAATAAAAAGACTTGGGAGAAGAAGAGGGCATCATTAAGTAGATTTTTATATGAAAAAGCTAAAGGAGCTTTGATTAAATCTAGAATAGTATCTATTAGGGACATAGATGCACCCACTAGGTACTTTTTTAAGCTGGAAAGAAAGGTCAGGCAACATAACCAGATGATGCACCTTAAGAGCTCCGATGGGTCGGTGACCAGGGACCCGTCTGAAATGAGGAGGCTGGCTATAGACTTTTACAGCAGCCTGTTTAGAGCGGAGGAGTGTGACCCAGAGCGTGTGGAGGAGATTCTGGAGGGACTTCCTCGTTTAGCGGAGGCGTCGGCAGCCTCCTTGGAGTCCAGGGTGCAGTTTGAGGAGCTGTCTGCAGCGGTGGGCCAGCTCAGCTGTGGTCGGGCGCCAGGTGTCGATGGGCTTCCAGCGGAATTCTATAAAACATTCTGGAGCGTTATTGGAAAGGACCTGATGGATGTATTCGAAGGATGTTTGGACTCTGGGACATTGCCAATGAGCTGTAGGAGGGCGGTACTGACGTTACTGCCAAAGAAAGGAGACCTGGGACTTCTACAGAACTGGCGGCCAGTCTCACTACTCTGCACAGACTATAAAATTCTGGCCAAAGTACTGGCAAATAGACTTAAAAAATATATGGACTCAGTTGTAGACGCCAGCCAGACGTACTGTGTCCCTGACAGGACAATAATGGACAATTTGTTTTTACTTAGAGACATCATAGACCTGTCAAAATACCAGGAATTAGATATAGGTTTGTTATCTCTGGATCAGGAAAAGGCATTTGACCGAGTAGATCATGAATACTTGTTTAAAACACTTAGAGCATTTGGATTTGGTAGCTTTTTTATTTCATGTATTAGGATGTTGTATTCAAGGGTCACTGTGTTGTTGAAGGTTGGAGGGGGACTTAGCAGACCGGTTTCTGTACAAAGAGGGATCAGGCAGGGATGTCCTCTTTCTGGGATGCTATATACTTTGGCTATTGAGCCTCTATTACATCAACTCAGAAGAAATATATCAGGTTTAAAATTAACAGACAAAACTAATTTTTCATTTAAATTGTCAGCTTATGCTGACGATGTAACAGTTTTTATAGGATGCCAAAATGATGTCAGGACTCTAGAACATAAACTAAAATTATACGAGCAAGCTTCTTCAGCCAAGGTGAACTGGTCGAAATGTGAGGGTCTGATACTAGGAGAGTGGGGGAATAAAGAGAGGCCGACATTACCGGCAGGGCTTCAGTGGAGCACAGAGGGGATGAAGGTGCTAGGAGTGTATCTGGGGAATGAGGACTTTCAATTAAAAAACTGGGAGGGCATAGGTGAAAAAATATGTGCCCGATTGTCTAGATGGAAATGGGTCCAGCCCCAGTTGTCATACAGGGGGAGGACTTTGGTTGCCAACAGTCTAGCTGCCTCCATGCTCTGGCATCGAGCCACCGTTCTTGTTCCTCCGGAAAAAATACTTCAGCAGATACAGAAGAGACTGGTGGACTTTTTATGGGATGGTTACCACTGGATTAGATCGGCTGTGCTGTTTTTACCTGTGGCGGAAGGGGGTCAGGGGCTGATTGACCTCAGGAGCCGCATAACTGCGCTTAGGCTCCAGACAGTACAGAGATATCTGTATAGGACGCAGCAGCCCTGGACTCAAACGGCATCCCTGCTGCTGCAAAGAGTTGGAAACCTGCACTACGACAGGCATCTTTTCCTATTGGACCTGGAGGGAATGGATATTAAACAAACTTCCAGATTTTATCAGTCAGTATTGAATGACTGGAGAACGGTTTTAAAAAGTAAAAGGGACTGCTCAAAGGTGTATGGGACAATAGGTGATGAGCCTTTGTTCTATAACCCAGCCATAAAGAGCAGAATACTGGCCTCTGAAAGTGTCCGAAGGGTTCTCACAGCGGCGGGGCTGACGAAGCTGGCAGGACTGAGGGAGGAAGGGCAGTGGAAAAGTGCTGCAAAGATTTGTGAGGACACTGGGACCCAATCGTTACGCCTCATGGACAGACTGGTGCAGGAGGTTATGAATGGACTTCCTGGATCCTTCAGGAGGGCACTGGAGGCTGAGGAGCATCTGGAGG